CTCTGAAGAACTACTGAGCGGGAGGAGACAGCCAGGTGAGGAAAAACTGTTCTTATCAGTTTAATTTCCAGTAATAATTTGTGTAAATTCCTAGTTTCACAATTAGAAAAGAGACAGAGAATAAATAGGCTTATTTCTTTTCACATCAGATCTTATAAAATATTAAATATAAATTTCAATATTTTTCTTCTTTCCTTAACAGTAAGTGTTAAATGTGTGAACAACACTCATGTTTCAGTTCATTCATCATCATAACCCATTAAGCAAAAATAAATCTGAAATTAAACCAGATTTAAGCAGTCAGGTCTGAATTTTCTATTGGTTTTTCAGGGTCAAAATTCTATCAGGTCAATACTTGAAAAATACTGTCAATACTTTAGTTTCAGACTCCCTCTTGAAATGTTCTTGTTTGGTATCGTTTCTCATCTCAACCTCAAGATTTTGTTTCTATTTGTTCTCAAATAATACATTTTTTGCACTTTGTTTATGCAGAAAAATATTCACACAAAACTGTTTTTGTTTTTCTCACGGTAATATTTTAACATTTTTGCAAACAGCTATAAACTTTGTTCAGATTCTGTCCTAGTTTTCAGCAAAACATTTTACAAAAAAAAAAAAAAAAAAAAAATGGCAAAGGGCACAAAGTTTGTTGCTATTTCAAATATAATCTACATTGGTGATACTGGTTCTGTATTTACTTGTGTTAGGAAAATAAATTTAAAATAAGCTAGTTTTAAAACCTAACATGTCTTGATTAAAATGGCCTATTGACCTTTAATTTACCTGTAGTTACAGCAGATGGTTTGCTAGGATCGTTTGAACTGCCTTTTGTCTGTGTGGGAAAACAATAAGTAGAAGTTCTAGTTTTTCACACTCATCTGTGAAAAGCCGTAAAACAGCAGGAGTTCCTGACTTTAGAGAGAGGGTCAGAGATAGCTCCTGGATGGATGAGCAAAGATACGCCTTATTTGAATAAATTAAAGAAAAGAAGATAAAACTTTCTACACAGAAGTAACAAATCAGA